TGGGCTTAGGTGATTCTCTTGCCTCAGCCTCCCAAGCAGCTGGGACTACAGGCGCCTGCCGCAACACCCGGCTATTTTTTTTGGTTATAGTTGTCATTGTTTGGCAGGCCTGGGCTGGATTCTACCCTGCCAGCTTGGGTGTATGTGGCTGGTACCCTAGCTGCTTGAGCTATAGGTGCTGAGTCCTGGGAAAATTTTTAAAGAGCATTAATTATTTTCGAAAGTAGTTCAAAGCATAGTAAGTATATTCATTTTTTACTTTTTTTTTTTGATCAACATAATTTAAGTGTGTGGTGGAAGTTTATAGATTCAAGTGTGCCATGAGATAAAAGGTTGAAAAACACTGCTATAAAGGAAGACCTGGGTCATTTATGAAGAACAATGCTCATTTGGCTCACAATTCTGAGGACTGGTAGGTTTGAGGTTGGGCATGTGCATCTGGGGAGGGTCCCAGGCTGCATCTACTGGGGGCGGAAGGTGAGAGGATCTTGTGTGTGTAGAGTTTACAAGGAGAGAGAGAAAGCCAGAGGGAGGAGGAGGCTCTTTTTTAACAACCAGTTTTCTGAGAGTGTCAGAATGTACCCCTGACCCAGACGTCTCCCAGGGGGCCCCACCTCCAACATCAAAGATCAGATTTTAACAGGAGGTTTGCAGGGGACAAACTTCCGAACCGCAGCCTCACATCCGTGAGGGAGGAGAGCAGAGCCCTTCATACCCACATCGCTGGACTCCAAAATCAAGGTCACAACACAGAACAGGTTCACATTAGCGTTGAAGACCACAAATTCCACGAAGAGGCATTTTGTGCATTGGTCCAGCCAGTGCCTCTGTTCAAGATGCCGCAGAACTCTGGGGAGACAGGGAAGGACAGGGCCAGCTACTTTCTCCCTTCAGCGCTGCAAAGGGGAAACCGTCCTGACGTTTCCAGTATCACTGCCATGCACCAGGTAAGAGGCCACATTTTCTAGTCTAGTTCTCTTATAAAATACTTTAAGATTGGCCAAGCATGGTGGCTCACACCTGTAATCCTAGCACTCTGGGAGGCTGAGGTGGGTAGATTGCCTGAGTTCAGGAGTTCAAGACCAGCCTGAGCAAGAGTGAGACCCCCATCTTTAAAAAATAGCCAGGCATTTGGTGGGTGCCAGTAGTCCCAGCTACTCAGGAGTCTGAGGCAAGAGGATCGCTTGAACCCAAGCATTTGAGGTTGCTGTGAGCTATGATGCCACAGGACTCTACTGAGGGCAACAGCGTAAGACTGTCTCAAAAAAAAAACAAACTTTATGATTATTAGTGTCCAGACTTTCACTGGTGTTAACATAAAATTTAGTAGACTATAAAAAATAAAAGTGTCCGGCTTGGTGCCTGTGGCTCAAGTGGCTAAGGCACCAGCCACATACACCTGAGCTGGCAGGTTCAAATCCAACCTGGGCCCGCCAAACAACAATGATGGCTGCAACCAAAAAATAGCCAGGTGTTGTGGTGGGCACCTGTAATCCCAGCTACTTGGGAGGTGGAGGCAGAAGACTTGCTTAAGCCCAAGAGTTGGAGGTTGCTGTGAGCTGTGATGCCATGGCACTCTACCCAGGGGGACAGCTTGAGGCTCTGTCTCAAAAAAAAAAAAA